GGTTTGTATTCGCGGGCCCCCATGGTGCATGGGCTACGCGTACTCATCCAGCGGATATGTGTGAATAATAATAATAATGTGAGTGTGTGTGTGTGTGTGTGTGTGTTTGTGTGCATGCGTGAGAAAGAGAGTGCGTGTGGGTGATTGGATAAGTGCGGGTGCAAGTATGTGTGCGGTAGGTGTGAGAATGAAAGGATGAGTATTGTGGCCGTGAGTGAGTGTGTGTGTGTGTGTGTGTGTGTGTGTTTGTGTGTGTGTGTGTTTGTGTGTGTGTATATGTGTATGTGTGTGTGTGTGTGTGTGTGTGTGTGTGTGTGTGTGTGTGTGTGTGTGTGTGTGTGTGTGTGTGTGTGTGTGTGTGTGTGTGTGTGTGTGTGTGTGTGTGTGTGTGTGTGTGTGTGTGTGTGTGAGAGAGAGAGAGAGAGAGAGAGAGAGAGAGAGAGAGAGAGAGAGAGAGAGAGAGAGAGAGAGAGAGAGAGAGAGAGAGAGAGAGATAGAGATAGAGAGAGAGAGAGAGAGAGAGAGAGAGAGAGAGAGAGAGAGAGAGAGAGAGAGAGAGAGAGAGAGAGAGAGAGAGAGAGAGAGAGAGAGAATGTTCGTGTGAGATTAGGAGAATGTGTGTATGTAAGGTTTAGAGAATGTGTGTGTGAGATTTGGAGAATGTGTGTGTGCGTGTGAGAATGAATGTGTGTGTGTGTGTGTGTGTGTGTGTGTGTGTGTGTGAGAGAGAGATATAGAGAATGAATGTGTGTGTGCGTGCGTGTGTGTGTGTGTGTGTGTGTGAGAGATTTAGAGAATGTGTGTGTGGACGCGCGTGTGAGTGTATGTGTATGTGAGAAAAGGGAGAGAGTGTGGGTGTAAGTTTGTGTAGTGGTGTGGGCATGTGTGGATTTGGCATTTCTCCCCAGCTCTATCCTATATCATTCACGCCGGAACTACTGCTGCATAGCCCCAGGTCTGAAGACTTGGCAACTTCACGCCTGCACCTGACTCTTGCGCTATGATACGCGTCGCCTATGACACCCCTCAGAATTTCTCACCTTGCTCCCCCTTATGTTCTGGCTGCCCGTTTTGGATCCATCAGTTGCCTGATGATCGTAGTAATACGTGAAACTCAGAGTTGTAACAAAGCTTCCAAACTCTCTCTTGTGTAATAATAATAATAATAATTGTATTATAGAATCTTGTTTTCATGAAATTTCTGCAGTGCCACAATGTGGCACTTTCAGAATGGAACAGTGATTGTTCTGACGAAGCGTCATTCAACGACTTGACCGCCTGCAGTATCAGTGCAGTTGCAAGTTGAACAGGCCTGAGGGTATGTCACAGAAGCTAGTACAAGCTACACCTACAAAAGAGCTGCTATTTAACTTGTTGAAAACTCTGAACTTAAGTGCTCGAGAAAAGGGCCTGCTGATGACTGCGTGCACAAAAATTTTTTTTAAACCTAATCAATAATAGCTTTTCGGCTGTTTCCTTTTCATGTTTATAATCTTCTCCTTCTTTTACCATGGTTTGCTGTCTCCCACATTTTCCCGTTTTGGCCGCCATCGGAAGCCATAAAATGTTGAATAAATAAATAACTGACATGTGACCTATGACAGAATGAGTGCACTTGATTTTAATATGATATACATGGACACAAATAAAAATAAATTCGATGGGGTTCGCGTACCGGGCAGGTCAAGAACAAGGAGTCGTACAACTCCCTGGTCAAGAACCACCTTTCCGCTTCCGTGGGACGCCACCACCCCATGATCAGGCGTCAGATGCGGCCTAAATGGTGGGGGAGGATAGATCAGATCCACCAACCAGAGGCCGAAGGCCTCGATCCCATTTGCCACAAAAAATCCTTCCGCTTCCAAGCAGGACTTGAACCTCGTACCTCTCGTTTCTCAATCATGGTCTTAGACCAACCCACTGTGCCTGCCTGCTTGATGAATACAATAATTATATGGTTCGGGTAGGGTTGGGAGCTAGGGGAGGGGTAGGAAGGGGGAGAGGGAGGAAGGGAGGGTTGGGAGGGGGAGAGGGAGGAAGGGAGAGCTGGGAGGGGAGAGGGAGGAAGGGAGGGTTGGGAGGGGAGAGGGAGAAAGGGAGGGTTGGGCGGGGAGAGGGAGGGTTGGGAGGGGGAGAGGGAGGGAGGGAGGGTTGGGAGGGGGAGAGGGAGGAAGGGAGGGTTGGGAGGGGGAGAGGGAGGGTTGGGAGGGGGAGAGGGAGGAAGGCAGAGCTGGGAGGGGAGAGGGAGGAAGGGAGAGCTGGGAGGGCGAGGGAGGAAGGCAGGGTTGGGAGGGGGAGAGAGAGGGGAGGGTTGGGAGAGAGAGAGAGAGACAGACAGAGAGAGAGACAGACAGACACAGAGAGAGAGAGACAGAGAGAGAGACAGAGAGAGACAGAGATACATAGCTAACTTACTTGGTCATTATAATTCGATGCATTTCGTGTGGCGTAGACCAGATACTAGGTGTGTGCATTGGGGATAATTTCACATGGCACACAAGTTGATGTGAACCCTTTCTTTCTTTTCATTTTGCTGACCCGTAGATCTACAGCTCTGCCTTTTGTTTTTGGTGTGTGTTTTTGGCCGTGATGCCGAGACCTCTGGTCGAGACCTCAAGTCGGCAGAGCCATCAATGCCCCACCATCACTGCTGCGTCTCGGTGCAGCCCCTGCTCAGTAGTGGTCACGTTTGTCCTAGTCTCAGTACCATTGTCTTTCATTCTTAATTGAGCCTCTAGATCCGAAAACCGGTACGTGGTTTTGCGCAGTGTTGAGAAAAATCATCAAAAATGCATTTGAAAGTTGAGTTTTCCGCATAAAGCGATGTATAATTCACTTATTGAAACACCCATATCTCTGTGAAAGATGAGATTTTTGGACCTAGGTTTTTTACAGAGGGATCTGCGGGGGTACAGCAACGTCATGGTATAATATGAGCCGTCAGATGCAAAAAGGTACCTTATGACATTTTTGGCCAAATCGAGTTAACGATTGTTTGAGATACAACCTGGTCTGGAGAGTGTCGTGCAAAAAACCAGGTCCAAAAATCTCAATTCATCACCGAGTGACCCTGGAAACTATCCGGACTATCGATCACATATTCACAGAAAATACTTTTTCGAACGCGATTTCCTCAACTGCGAGCAAAACGTCATAAGGTACCTTTTTGCATCTGACGGCTCATATTATAACTCAAAATGTTCAGAAATGACTTTTCCTTATCCACATACCATGTACCAAACATGCATGAAACGTACCAGAAAACGTACCGAATTCTGCCAATTTTTCAATTTTTTTTTCAATTTTTTTTTGCCAATTTTTCTGCCGGCATAATCCCCGGTGCCTGCATAAGCCCCCTTTTGGGTCTAGAGGCTCATTTACCAGTTGGGTATGTGAACATTTGTTGGGTATGTGAACATTTGTTGATCACGTATGTGAACTTAGTAAAAAGGAAATGGCTTCATGTCTGATATCGTTGGAAGAGAACATCAAGGGGTGTTACATCCACTGCACTGGCCGCGACGGGCGTGTTTCTATATATTTGCCTGCACAAGTCGCTTCACTAGTCAATGATCACTTTCACTGTTAGGAGATTCCCCCCCCCCCCCCCCCCCCGATAGGCTATGCCTTTGGGAAATCCTTTTAAATAATAAATATTAAGAAAGGGATTTCTCCCCACACCGGAGCTCGCGCTATTCCGCCGACTTTACTTGACACTTGACTGACTCACGACTGCCATCCAGAGCACACAAGGGAGTGGTGCTTTCTTGCAGGTTTGCCGAGTCGAAGGTTCGATGGACTTCTCGTGTGCTCTGGATGGCAGTCGTGAGTCAGTCAAGTGTCAAGTAAAGTCGGCGGAATAGCGCGAGCTCCGGTGTGGGGAGCAAACGATTTCCTACAAATCATCGCCTTAATAAATATTATATAAATAACTATATTCTCTTGCGACGGGTGCACTTGGTAATATTAGAGAGGTTATGATGAACCTTATTTCCGACATGACTCGCAATTTCACGTAACATTTGGCGTAAAACTCCAAATTTCGACGTGAGCTGCAGGTCACTCGCGTTGTTTTTCGACGCGCGAGCCAAATAACGGAGATGAAATTTTGCGTCTTCAGAAATAACGTGCATCTTAAGTTAAACTCTCTAATATTAGTTTCCGACTTTCCTTGCAGGTCAGTCTGTGTGCGAGTGGCCAGTGCTTGAGTTAAAGCTCGGAAAAGGTAAGTACCCTACTCACGTGCATTTAAGGACATAGATAGACTCGGGTGGAGAGCCAAGGATTAATTTATAAGAAGAAAAAAGGACCAAAGAGCTACAAGTTACGCTGCATTATCCACTAGCACCACCTGTCTGTTCCTCTAGGAAATCGCGATTCCACGGATGCAACAAATTTCGCGATTTTTGCCAAAACCCGTGATTTCCCGCGTTTTTTGTTGTTTTCTGCACTTTTCACGCACTGTACTCCATGATCATGCAGGCTATTTGCACAGTGCTACTCTCGAGGAGATCTGCTGCACAAATAGGGATTCTAAGGATGCAACAAATCATCAAATGTCGTGATTTGGCCCAAACCCGCAATTTTCTGCACATAGTTCTGCAAATTCCTGGCAAGTTCCGCACTTTTCGCCGCACTTCTTGTTGTTTTCTGCCGCAATTTCTTGCGCAAGTTTCGAGAATTTTTCCGCAAATTCCCGCAGGGATAGACCAGATATTTTACAATCAGCTCATGCGATAACATTGCACGACACTGACGAACGGTACTGACGTTCAACACCTAGCTGGCACATCTTGGATGCGCACACCTTCCCCTCCCTTTGTTATTAATTTTCTATACCGGTAACTTAGAACCTTCCTAGCTGGAAGGCTGTTGGAGTGCGCACGCACCCCCACACACAACACACACATCACACACACACACACACACAACAACAACAACAACACACACACACACACACACAAACACACACAAGCTCACGGCTTGGCATCATTTGCAACTTCTCTTAACCAGATTATTATTATAATTAATATAACATTTACAGATTCTTTGATCGGTGTTTGGAAACGTCTGGAAAGCGAGAGAGTGAACGACAAGCGAGCGAGGGTGAGAGAGGGTTGACAATACAGGTGCAGAACAATAACCAGAAGTGGTAGATTCAAATGTCCTGGGCCCTTGATTTTCCGTTCCAGGAATGAGACACCTCCTGACGCGTCCTGACGGTGACATCAATATTGTAATGTATATGTGGATAATAGAAGCAGATAGAATGGGCGAGTAATATGTTTTGCAGTATTTTTAGAGGCCGCGATATGTACAAGAAAATATTTTTGGGACGCAATACTATGTACAAGAAAGGGTGAGGAATATCGATTTTGAAAATGATTGCCAGTATGGCATCTCATAATAAGTGCACGTCGCATGCAGACATGGACTTTCTTGCGGGCGTACGTGCATCGCAAACATGTACAGGTAGAACACAAAGCCAAGCTCCAACCAGTCGATGACGCTCATGTGCGTGTGTGTGTGGGGGGGGGGGGGGGGGGGGGCGCTGCGCTGTCAAGGCATGCCTTGACGAAAACACGGGCCGCATAGCAACAAAAATATAGATGGGCAGCTGGCGTCGTGCAGAATAATACAGTGTATGTTTTACCACCAGGCCCAGGATACACACGAAGGCAATAATTTGCGGTTGACCGGGCGAACGTGGCCTAATCAGAAAGTGTTGGGGGGGGGGGGGGGGAGATGGAGAGGACGGCGCACTGGCTGAATGCGACCACTGGTCAAGCTGCGTGAATGTACATGTACATGTATGTATGGCCGTACAAGCAATGTAGTGGAAACGGATACATGTATGTATTAGTTATTCTTCACAATGAAACATGCACACACGCACTGTCTCTCTCTCTCTCTCTCTCTCTCTCTCTCTCTCTCTCACACACACGCACGCGAACGCACACACACACACAGACGGTACAGATACTTGGCCGCTTATTGCGCCGGCCTCACAAGATGTGTCCATGTTCCGCAAGTACAAGTACAACTAAAACCGGATAGGCGATGATCGCTCTCTGACGATAGCGGAATGTCACCAAGCACAACGCATTGCGCTCACAAGGTTGATACAAAGCTTCAATAGGTTGCTTCGAGGTTCACACATTTTCCAGCTTGTCGCCACTGGAGACCGTCTATCGGCAGTTGGCAGGCTGACGGCACGAAGCCAGCTAGCGCGCTGATGCTCCCTAGTTCACCTGCACCACCGCCAATGCCATGCTCTCAGCCGAAGTGCATGGGTGTCCCCTGCATGGGTGTCCCCTCCACGGATGCAATCATGCTCTCAGCAGAAGTGCATGGGTGTCCCTTGCATGGGTGTAACCGTGCTCTCAGCAGAAATACACTGATCTCCCCAGCATGGAACACGGGCGTCATCTCAACAGCAGTGCATTGACGTGCTCTGCACGGGTGCAGCCGTGCTCTCAGCCGAAATACATCCGACGTTCCCCAGCAGCGGTGCACGGCCGAGGCGCAGGCGCGCTCTCTCTCAGCAGAAGTACATTGGCGTGCCCTGCATGGGTGCGACCCCGGTGCCCGTACCACTCGGGCCGGCAGAGCCCGGTGTGTGCGGGGAGAAGAGCGGTGTACTAGGCAGCGTACTGGGCGTGTAGACAACGCCTACAAGGACACAGCAAAGATCACACACACACACACACACACACACACACACACACACACACACACACACACACACACACACACACACAGAATGACACAGAAACACACACTCAGAACGATGACATTATTGTCAAAAGGGTGACTGGTGTGACTGTCCTAAGAGCACCGTATTCCCGGAGTATAAGCCGCACAGGAGCACAAGCAACATTTGTTTTGTCATGTAATACAGACATGTACACTGTGTATCCGTAGTGACTTTTTCTGGCGTGAATTATGAGTACGGCGTATACTCCAGCAAATACGGAACAGTCGACTGCGGATATAACAACAATTCGCGAAGAACGACAGACTTTCCATGCCCAGAGCAAAGTCCCATCCAACTGTAATACATATAATGAGACTTCGGGTACACGGACACTTCGCGAATACGGACACTTTTCTGATGCCCCGCCGAGTGTCGTTACACGCGAAGTTGACTGCAGCTAAAGTACTCTCAAGCGGGCACATCAATCTACAGTGGTTAAAGGCAAGCAAAGACAGGAGTACGACTGGTAGTTTCTGTTACGGATGACTGACCTGTGGGTGTGCCAGCTGGCGAGTACAGGCTGCTACCCGGCCAAGCTGCTGCGGCTGCCACACCGGCCGCAGCCGCAGGGTGATACGTAGTGCCTGTCCTGCCCAGTGATCTCTGCAAGCCGTGTACGCCAGCCACAACAGGAGTTTGCTGTGACAAGCACACCACACAAACAAAACAAAATTGAACTCGGATACAGAAGCAATGGTAAAATGAAAAAAATGGGGTGCGTGGGGGGGGGGAGTGTTCACGAAGTAAGGGTACACATACCTAAATACTACGGTACACAATGGGGGGGGGGGGGGGTACACATAAACTGGGTAGTTTTATTATTACCTGCATGGCGGCAATGGGATGACGTTGAACGAGATGTCCACCGGGTTGCGTCATGTGGTTGACCAGCGTTGGAGACAGCGGGGACAGCTGCTGGTGGAGGTGGCTGTGAGAGAGAGAACGCTGCGAGCCGTCGAACGAATGAGACCGCTGCGAAACCTGCTGCTGCTGCTGATGCTGCTGCTGTTGTTGCTGGTGTTGCGACTGTTGATGATGCGCAGATAGGTGAGAGTATGGTGATGATTGTCCATACTGGTGGTGGTGGTGTTGACCGACTTGATAAAGTCCTTTAAAACAAGACAATCAGCAGCAACAGAAGCGGCAGGAGCGACGGCAGCAGCAACATCAGCAGCGACAGTATCAGCAGGGGAAACACATGGATTTTCATGGTGGCAAGCATTGATCCAGTGCGTTTGGAGGAAAGGCAAATTCAAACAGAGTACCTCTACAAATCCCCACAATGTCTGTTTATGTGAATGAGGCACACTTTCTGTTTAGATCATACATTATTCATACGGACTAAGTACACACAGATACTCTAGTCACGTCCATGTATGGAAGAGTTCGGGGTGGCGAACATTCCGTGTCACCCCAAAGGGGTATGCTACATACCCGGGGGCCACTAGTAGTAGGAGGAGGATGTGATGAGCGGATTCTGGGACAAGGGGTGCCCTGCCCCCCCCCCCAAAAAGGGGTATTACGGTACTCAAACAAGGCCTACCTCTATGTCCTGCCGACAGATCGGCCAGCGGGGGCATGGCCAGCTGTGCACCGCCCTGGGTTGCCATGACACTGAGTGACGGTGAGGCAAAGTGAGCGTGCTGTCCACCCTGCACCTGGCTGAGAATCTTCTCGTTGAAGCAGTAACAGTATCGCTTGCCTTGCACCTAGCGCCACGCATTACAACAAGGCAACAAGAGAAGAACATTATTAATTATTTTATTATCCTTCCCCTCTTCGGTCCTACGTAACCATGAACCTTCCCAGGTGGAAGGCTGTTGGTTTGCGCACTGGAGGTGTGTTAGAGCTAGGTCTCGGTTCGCTGAATGTCTCAGTAGCCTGTCAGTTTTGTGCCCTATTATCGCACTTTCTGACCGTTTATCATCTCGTTACAGTCGTGGATAGTTGCTGCATAACTCGGTCTCATGTGTTTCTTCTCTTTTTACATTTGTTTATTTATTTATTTTTATTTCACCGTCCAATGGCAGAAGCCAATGCAAAGGAGGGGTTATTTATTATAATTATCAGAGAGGTTCTGCTATACATGAAACATAGAGAAATCACGTAGGGAGCAGGTGTCTGGGTTAGAGTCTACGGCTTCGCGTGTTTTAGGTCCAGATTTCTACGCGTAGATGAGGTTCTCCAAGTTGTGGCACACACAAAGAAAATGTTTACGGATCTGCTGGATATCATCCAAATGCAGGCAGAACACTGCCGAGTTTGGAAGGGGAAATTCCCAATACACGATCCATATCCATGTGCATCAGCGGGAGAGTAGCAGTAGCAGCAGCAGCAGCAGCTCACCTTGTGTAGTATGCTCTTGTCATAGTAATAGCGCATTGCTCTGGACATCTTGTCGTAGTTCATGCTGGTCTTGTTCTTGCGGAGACCCCACTTGTGTGACACCTACGCACAAGAACCAATGTAATACATACATAATATTATACACAACATACAGACTTTAAGTAACTTCCTCAAATTTCCCAATTATACTACTGGAAACCCGTGATATCCATGTACATGTCTTCTGTGTTGACGTCACTAAGACGTCACTAGGACTCTGCATGCACGCAGGCCAACCTGTGCTGCCTTGCCCTTTTGTTGTTGTTGTTCTGTCTTCCGAGTCCTTGAAGTGACTTCCTCGTTGTTGGCTTATGAAATAGAATTATACATACCGGTAAGATCCTTGTCTTGTATCAGCAATTCAGTCTCGCCCCCCCCCCCCCCCCCCCGTAGAGATCTCTGGATCCACCCGTGCAGTGTAGCATTGTGCGCCTATAGCTCACCTCGTCCGGATCCAGGAGTTTGAACTCTCCTCTGTGCTCCGTCCAGCAGATTATTGAGCGATGCTTCTCGTCCTGGAGTAGCTCAAACAGGAACTGCCAGAGCTGCACTTGCTGACCATCTGATAAAACGCACGCACAGACAAAGTGAAGAAGAACGTGTGCTGTCGTGATTTTGTAAGCAAGAGATACGTCGCTGGGGCTGATGGCGATAGCGGCAGTGATATACGAGCAGTGGTGATGGTAGAAGCGGCAGTGGCTGCAGACATCGACTAGCGGCGGAAAGCAAAAACGTGGGAGGCAGCAGCAGTCGCAGCAGCGGCGGCGGCCACAGAAGCAGCAGTGGTGGTCGTGACGGTGGCAAAACCACCACCAGTAGCAGCAACACCACCACCACGACCACCAGCAGCAGCCACCACTACCACCGTCACCACCACCACCAGCAGCAGCATCAGTAGGCCCAAAACAGAACCACTACCTGGTGATAGCATTTCAGACACTATATAAGAACCACGATGGGTTAAACGCTGATTGAGCACTTCTCCTGCCAGTACTAAGCATATTGAAAGGAAACAGACCCAGTACATGCCCTTACCATGATTCTGTCCGGATGCAGGAATGATTGGCTGGTTACCAATGGCGCTGTCGGATGACTCAGCCTGTCTGGACAGCTGAGTATCACACATCAGAAACAAGGCACAAAGCGAGGCTTAAACAGCGGCTTATGCTTGACACGGGAGATTGCCAAACAGGAAAATGAAGACTACAGTCAACTTTGCTAATAACGTCTGCGGATGTTACGACAATTCGCGAATAACGACAGAATTTCCATGCCCAGAGCAAAGTCCCATCCAACTGTAATACATGTAATGAGACTTCGGGTATAACGACACTTGGCGAATAAGGACACTTTTCTGATGCCCCACCGAGTGTCGTTCTAAGCGAAGTGGACTGTAGTAGTTAGGCAGTACGGCACTCACCGAGTTGTCAGTTGCCACTGGTGTGGTCGCTGGCGCTTGCACGCGCATCAGCGCTGGCGGTGGAGCGCCAATGTCTTCTTTCTCCTGCTTGGGCTGGCGCTGCTCAAAGTCCACGCTGTCCTGGCCGTGGGAGTGCTGCGGCACTTGCTGCGCCTGTCTGCTCTTGTTGTCGTGGATACGGTGGCCGGCGGACGCCGGAGCGACGTAGCCAGGGTCGTCCGCCGCGTTGGCAGCCTGAAGTAAGCGTGCAGGCAAGCACACACACACACACACACGCACACACACACACACACACACACACACACACACGCACACCCACGCACACCCACGCACACCCACACACACGCGCGTGTGCGCGCACACCCATACAGTTAGTTGCAATAACGTCCGGCGATTTCGTATAGAGAAGGTATGTGTTACCATTGTTCAAGTGTTTGCCGCGATGCCGGCGAGTATGTGAACATTACTAGAGGAAAAGGCAAACACAGAGTATGTGATCGCAATAGGCCCATCGCGCAATCACGTAATTTGTACCATAAACACCCCACAAAGCCAACTGGGGATGGTCGTGTGTGAGGTGTTGAACAATGCATTGCTGATCCCAACGTACGTACTAACATACATTACTCATACATTCCATATTTGGCAATGCGCAATGGGCTTATGAATCAGTTATGATTCACTGCAAAAAGTTCAGTCTTGGATACGATGATGCCGTTCCGTGTAGCATACCTATATCCCCACACCACACCCACCCATTCGTTATCACATTATTGGGCTATGATCCCGTTTGATTTTGCAAAGTAAAATAAAGAATACAACACAATACCTCTTGTTGTCGATGGCGTTGTATTCCGACGACGTCGACGTCCGACGTTGTACTGGCCGGACTCACCGAGCGCAGCACGGGCTGCTGCCACGTCAGCTGCGTCAGCGTCTCCGCCGCCTGAGACTCCTCGGGTGTCACGGAAACCCCCGCTGCGGCGATGGCTGCCGGGTGGTGGCCTGCGCTGTTGCCGCCGCCGACGCCGCCGCCTCTGCGGTTGTCGTGGCAGCCACTGAGGTCGGCCACTGGGGTCGGGCAGGATGCCGCGTTCCCATCTGAAAACGACACCAAAGCATAGTGCAAATAAGAATAAGTTGAGGGAATGGAAAAGGAAAATGTCTGAAGAAAAAAATGACTGTCCCCACCAGGACTTGAACCAGGGACCTTCACTTGAACCAGGGACCTTCACTTGAGGCCACTAAGCTATGGTGTAGCTGTCATCCCAGGAGAGACCATTAACATTTTCTTTTTTCCCTTTTTTCCCCATAGCGCAAAAACGAAGAATAGGTTTAGGGTTGGATGGAGAGCCAACACCACAAGCAGGACACAACACGGGCACGGACATGCTCGCGTGTCTGCCTGTGTGTTTCTAGACTTCATGGCATGGTCGTGAATTGGACAGCAATCCCTACTTTTGAGTTGTTTCAAACTTCAACTTGTTTGTACTTTCAAACTGTAGTCATTCCGGAAATTATTCCCTTATTACCGGTCGTCCATAATCATCGATCTTTTACACGAAACGAAAATGCTTCGTTGATGGGTGGGTTGGTTACGGAGGGTTTTGTTTTTGAAAATATTGTTCAATAGAGTGGATGGTTGAGTGGGTGGAGTGGTTGGGGGAGGGTCAAAACTGAACTTGTTCGTTCCATGACAATTATCCATAATGCCGGATGGCCCCTTACCAATGTGATGCTGATGATGCTGCTGGTGGTGGTGATCGGCATCCGCTGCCATGGCAACCTCTCCGTCGTCGTGCGCCGGCAATTCACCGCCGGCTAGGGTCTGCGTGGTCGCCATGGTTGCGTGCACAGAGGATCGCTGACGATAGGCGTCGGAGGGCAGCAGGGATTGCTCTGCCGACTGGTGTGACGAATACGCTCCGGACTCGGAAGCGAACAGGGATGAGTTCGCAGTACCGACGGCGGCGGACGCCGATGAAGGATTATTGTTCGGCTGGCTACCGCTGCAGGTGTTGTTGTTGTTGTTCTTACGACTTCCGCTGTTGCTCGTCTGGCTGGCACATGCAGCTTGCTCGAGCACCAGGCTGTCGTGAGAACGGAATGGCGTAGTAATTACACCTGGCGGATGAAACGAACAAGAAGAAAGGATGTTTGTTTGCTAGTTATTCTGTTTACTAGTACATGTACTTAACTTCTCACATTAAACGGCAACTGGGCCCAATGACATGAAGGCAGGTACGGAAGGAAAGAAGCAAAGGAGGAAGGGAAATAAATGACAGGACGACAGAAGGGTTTACCGGGTGTTAGCGGTCGTCGTGAGTTCCCTTCGGGAACGGACACGATAATTTACTTTTTTTAATTTTTATACGACAGAAGAAAATCACAAAGCGAAATAGCCCAGGCTCCAGAAGCGCTCAGGAAGTGACAGAAACCGCGTGCGCACGCACACACACACACACGCACACATGCACACACAAACACACACACACACACACACACACACATAAACACACAAACGAGCGCTCACTTGAGGGTGTCGGAGGAAATGTCCTTTCCTCCAGGCCCATGGATGTGTGAGCGCTTGGAGCAGCTCCACTCTGCTGCTGCTGCTGTTGATGGTGATGATGATGCTGGTCGTGTAGGTGATCTCCAGTGGTTGGCGGAAGTGAGAACGCAAGGCTATACCCCTGCGACGGTGTCTCTCCCGCGTGGTGATACGCACCGCTTGTGCTGGCGGTCGCTGGGCTGTAGCCCAGGTAATGGGGGGAGGCGAAAGAGCCAATGCCTCCGCCGCCTTGTCCCGGCTGGAATGCTGCGGACACGCCTGATATACACACGAATTAGCGTGCACGCACGCACACACACACAGACACACACACACACACACACACACACACACACACACACACACACACACACACACACCGACACGCACACACAACATCCGTACAACATAATCGAACACCGTGTCAGAATGATTTTGTCATAATGCAATGTCGCCTGCCCTTTTGACCTTCTCATTACAGATAGGCACGGAAGTTTTGCCAATTTTGCCAAAAAATTCGACCTTGCCGTATGCTATAAAAAGTAGTGGAGTAGTACACAGGGGTCGAATTTCTTTTGCGAGAAGTACTGTCCATACGAACAAATAATGGCAAGATTATTTGCATCTTTTTTAGATTCGGACACTGCTAACATGTCACAGTCTAAGGGACCTGGGTTACTGAAAAACTTCCACAAAAAAATCACATGAAAGCAACACGGCCATGATCATCATCAGCATGGTGTTCAGCGTAGGCTAGCAGCTAGCTGCAGAGCTGTCATCATCTCTAGGTGTACGCCTATGATAGCATGCGTGCCCGAGTGACAACCAAACAGTACAGAGCCACCACTCACAAGTTAGCTGCCCGCTTTACCTTTCCCATTTTCCCCCGCAAGTCACATGAGCGCCGGGCGAGCTCGGGTCCGTAGGCACACGAGTAGGTGGTTCACGAGTGCGCTAGTGCTTGGGGTAGCCTGGCGAGTCTGCGTTCTTCTTGTGAAGTTGCAGAAGGAATACAAAACAAACTGGATCTGGAATCGAGCATCCGCGGCACTACCCAGCTATGGCCTTGCATAATTTATGGAAGCATCTACCGCGCTACTTGTACAGTTGTAGCATTTTGTACGCTGTCGGTGCAGTGAAAAACAAAACAAAAAAAACCTGTGGATTTTTACGCCCAGCCGACTCTATCTAGCTCCAAACTCCGATCCACGGACCTACGGTTACTTGAGCAACGCACATTCAGCGATCAGCGCAGCATCGGTCAGGCACGACACGGACTTGCCTGGTGTCAACTCTAAGTTTGTGTATTTTTCCACACACGCACACAAAGGCGTCAAAGGCACAAGAACTGAAGACTAGTGAGTAGTGTAGTGAAGTAGATCGACTCTCTCTCGACGACTACAGCTCACTTTACTTTTCCCTCTCCTTCCAAGTAAGCTAGTTACTTTGAAGTAAAGCAAAGACTGCCTGCAAACTGAAGTACCCGGGGTAGACGTAGCCGAATGTGGAGACTGAAGTCATTGAAGACACGAGACGAGGGTTTTTTGAGCCCATATGAGGGGTCGAGAAAATAATAACGCCCCATTCGTAATCGTCGCTGCGAAATGCTAACAGTACAAAGTACAAGGACGCACCTTTGCACCCGGGAACATTTTCGAAAGGAAGACGATGCCTGCACCTTTTGACAACTCGGGTCTCGGCCGGGACCGCCCGAAGAAGGAGCAATCGCAGTCACAGGTGGACTACTCGGCCTGGCGTGCACCCCTTTTTTTGTAGGAAGGTGACAGAGGCCCATTCGCGGACCCACGCAGCGCCAACGAGAAAGATCGGAGACGCAGAGAGCCCTTTTAAAATAATACTTGTCCTGGACCTAGGTCGGCTGCATCCTTCACTGATCCACGGACGGTTCTCGACAACGAAGTCAGGCCTGCACTTTGAAGGCTAAGTCTGAAAGGAGTCCCTTCTCTCGCCAGTGGTAGCCAGAGAGATAGGCAGGGGCGACCCAGGCTTGTTCAAGGTGTAGCTTGAGTCAACAGGAAGCCTGCACAATCGAGCACCTCGACAGTGATGATTGCCTCTACTACTGCTACTAGCTAGAATTACAGGATCAAGGTTTGGTGCACGATTTCATCAGTCGCTTGTCAGCCAGCTACAACTAGTACAAGCTTGATTGAATGTTTATCAGTCCGATACGGGCCGCAATCCATCGAGCAAAGGCGGCTATTGGTGGGAAACTGCAGGATATAATCGCTAACACGTCGTGACGAAGAAAGCTACTGGTAGTATTTCCCACCATAATGAGACAGGGGAGCGCCACGTTCTTTCTCTCTTTTTTGTGTGCGGGAATTGGTATCGGTATCTGGGCTTGGACCCCTGGCCACTTTCAGCCAGCAAGCTTTGAACTAATCTGTTATCATTGCTGTACGGTGTGCAATGGAGATATTTTCCGATGTGAAAACTACGCTGCAATGGAGTCTGAGAGTTTTACGGAATCATTGATGTTCTTCGGCAGTTTGTCTAGGGTTACGGAGTTTGGGTTACAACGAGGGAATGCCTGGCTACAGCTTCGAGTCTCCAGCAACTAACTACATGTACCGCGGTATACTGATGTAATCACTTGTCCTTGATATAAGACACAGACAGTACGCAAGTAATTGTTACTTTCATGTACAGTTCTGGCAACTGAAATCCGACCCCCTGAGCGGTGGGTTCACATTCTTTGCGATGTGAGCGCACCGTTCAGAGGGTCGGATTTCAGTTGCAAGCACTGTAGATCTACGAGTCATGCAGATCTACAGGACCCAACCATACTCGCACTGAAAGGCAGTAGATCTACCCTGCAATCTGGGCTTTGCTTCCGAAGTCATGATTTTGTGGGTAAAGTTATATCTGCAGCGAGTGAGGGTTAGGCCATAGGTATAGGGAACAGTGCATGCACGCACGCACACACACACACAGTAGCTCGTACACTCCATGGGTGCTGCAAGAGTACGCCATCGTTGTTATGTAGGAAGATTAGCCCTGGTCGTCGAGCGTGTACCTGTGATAGCTTCGCGGACCGCAGCATCTTGCCTCTGTCGCACATGCACTGCCCAAATCTGCTGGGGATACGCGTTGCAGGGAGAGAGAGGAAATGGCCAATTCCTCTGTGGAAGCGTCAAAAGGAGCAATTCACAGGATCACATCCGACGGAGCACCATATGTCCCCATGAGTTCTGTCGCTGGATTTCGCAGTGCGCCTGACTACACGAAGACCACAAACCTCGTGAGGTGCTCACACGTACAGAGGAAAGAGGAGGGGGGGGGGGGGAGAATTGTTATTCTTTGCGCAGTAAGTGTATATCTGTTCGTACGTACATCAATTATTATTATCGAACGAACCTTCCATGCGCGGGTAAAGCAAAACAATTGCTCACTGGTCCACTGGCTATATTTGCTCCTGGTACCACTCGATACCATTGTGTTCTTCTAAGTTAGTACAATGTTGACAGAGTGGAATCTTCATGCCACGCTCAACGCACATTATACAGGATTATGTCGATACTCTCTTTCTGATGTAGGTAAGCCCGATTGAATAGCTCCAGTAGCTGTTGCTGTCGAAGTTTGTTTAACGTCGCACCACAAACAGGCGAATTTGCCTCCTTTAAATAAAAAAATAAAAAAATAAAAAATAAAGATAGTACTACATGAACATGTAGCTTCTCAGGTTTTTAGTTGTACTCAAAGACAATACATGTACAGAACAGCTAGTGATTTACCTGCAAAGTAGGCAGGCCTGACATCTACGGGTCACATGGTATCGGCCATGTTGGTTCCACTGTGCATATGCTACGGTCACTTTCTGATCAAATGTGGTCAGGTGACGAAGATGTGCAGTCACTCTCTTATCATGAATCCAGCCACATCTGAACATGCACGCTTGCAACTGGATATGATGACGAGCAATGAACGCTGGGCCTCTGGTTGCTGCAGATGAACTTGATAATGACCCTTGTCGTAGTTTAACTCAAGAGCAGGAATCAAAGCCTCCGGATGGCTCTTGAATTCAAGTTAAGCGCTCATCCTCACACGAACACAATTTAGATGACGGCTTCTGCTTCTTCTGCAGAATTTCCGCTCGCCGGCTAGTGCGAGATGAGCATGTAAAATCTAGACACCTACTCACGATGAGCAGTTAGCCGCCGGGACGTGGACAATGTACAGCACTCTATCGGAGAACGATCACCGGAGAACGAGGGCTGGAAAATTAGCGATTCCCCCAGCACGATTTCATTAGCGCCCAACCAATTTATCGGCAGCATTGATGTTATCATGTGTTCGTATTGAAATCGGCCTCTCTGCGGTTGTTTAATCGATGGCAAGACAAAATTAACCACATTTTCTTGTATTTGCAACAGCACGTTCGCATGTGCAAAGGAACGCGGTGCAGGAGAATGTCTTGCTTTTTAGTTCGACAAGTCAGCCATTTTCTTCTACCAGTGCCCATGTGCTCCAATCTTGTTAGAATCGAGGAGCAAAAATGATGATGAAACCAAGTGCACAGGGCTGGCCGGAGGTCTCGACTTCAAATTGAACATGTACTGATATTATCATGAAAATAAAATAAAAGACGACAAGGGATGGGGATGGTGGTTGCGAACAGTTCATGCAGTAGGGTTGACAACTGATCTCTGCAAACATGGCACTTCCTCCTAATGGTCTCTGTGTCGTTTTCCTGCGCATAACCTTATTCAGGGAGTCTGAAAATTAATATTTTGAATGTCTTTTCTTATTCACTAGTGCACGTACTCAGATTGTGAGCCAAGGAAAATATGTAACATGGTAAAATGTGGGCACACTTTATGCGGTCGAGTTGTGTTAGATTGTGCACGTATAATTGTTCAAAAATCTGGTTCAGTCGGTGGACTCGACCGCATAACTTGTGCCAACTATTTTCCCTGTAACAATTTATTTTACTTGACTGAGGGAATAAAACGAGAAATGGTCTGATGACAAAATTGACAGTCACCACCAAGACTAGAACCAGGGACCTTTGCTTCAGGTTACGATGCTCTCACCATTGAGGTACATGTATGCTTAGTGCTATTCCCTGTCCTTCTTTAATGGGGCACATGAAGTTCGCAAACTCAACATTCGGGCTTGTTGGGAATGCCCCAGTAAAACAATACAATAGAGAACAAAAACCAGACAGTAGCGCAAGCACAAACAGCAATGAATGGATTCATCACGTCAGTCGGTCGGATTTCCCATGACTTCCGCAGACGACCCATCTTACTGCC